TTCTCTTATTTGTAAAAATGGAGAGGTTGATAGTTGAGTTTATCCGGTCATTTTCCTTTCAGAAGAAGATTTCCAAGCAGTTAAGCAAGCCATAATTGACAACATTATCAAAACTATTAAAGAAAGCCCCTCAGAATGGAAAATAGTAGAAATTTGCACTTTTGATGCTGATATGCATGGTTATTATACTCTTGGTGCCACGAAAGGATATCAAGAGTGAGATACAATGCTAATCAATAAATCCACTCCGCTAGAATATGACGGCGAGGGATTTTTAGTTAGGAAACCGCAAAAAATGTATGATGAAAGTTTATTTGCTAAGGAAGAATTTCAACAAATAAAAAATATTCTGGGAGTTAGTGCTATTAAAAAAATACCTTTCCAAAAAAATGGCTATAAACTAAATGACGAAGCCAAAACTAAAAAAAATAAAGAAAACAGTTCAAAGGCAGGAATAATTATTGCCATTATTTTTTTAGCGGGAGTAGTAGTCGGTGCTTTTTTTGTATTTTTCAAGAAGAAAAACTAAAAAGCAGTAAAAAGAAATCATAAAACAAAAAACCTAAAATAAAAATTAATATGGATAACCAGCAAAAAAGCCAAGTTAATTATCTACTAACAAGAAAAAAATGCTGAGAGAAAAAACGAGACTTTTACCATCGACTATTTCACAAATATCAGCAAAAAATTAATCTTTCATGAGTTGTTTTTTATCTCTTACTTATTCCTATACTCTACTTTAGTGATTATTTAAGAAAACAAAATAAGTGAATACTTGTGTTTGTTTTGGTCTTAAATTTAATTAGTCTTATTTTTTGACTTTATTTTCTAAAATATTATTGTCTTTATGGGCGCAAATTAGATAATTGTCGTTGCAAAATTAACCAAATTAACGAAAAACTAATAGAAATTATGCAATTTCAAATTATTAACCCGACTGTTTAATCAAATCAGGTGCTCCGGTTAAAGAGCAAGTGCCATCAATATTTTTAGGAAAAGCAATTAGTTCTTTTAAACTTTTAATTTGCAAAATTGTGGCTAGTAAGCGGTCAATTCCTAATCCTATCCCTCCGTGAGGTGGAGCGGCAAATTCTAAGGCTTGTAAGAAGTAGCCAAAATTTTTTGTTCTTTTTTCCTCATCATACCCTAATATTTCTAATACTTTTTCTTGCAATTTGGCTTGATGAATACGGACACTACCACTTAATATCTCTTCCCCATTACAGATTAGGTCAAAAGCCTCACAAATTATTTTTTCTGGCTTAATTTTGTTATTTAACAAAGGTTTAACATACTTTTTTTGAGGAATAGTGAAAGGATGCCGAAATGGTTCGTATTTTTTAGACTCTTTATTATATTCAAAAAGTGGTCAATCAGCTATTCATAAAAAACTTAATTCTTTGTCATTATCAAGGTTTTTTCGAAAATCAGGCTTATCAGTACCATATCTTTTCATTACTTGCTGATAGGTTAAAGTGGGAAAAGGAGTTTTTAATTGGCAACCAAAAACTTTTTTCAAAACATTTTTCAGTAATTTTTCCACGAAATTTTTAATTTGCTGGGCGGAGACAAAACTCATTTCTAATTCTAATTGTGAGAATTCAATTTGCCGATTACGGCGAGCATCCTCATTGCGGAAACTTTTGGCTATTGAGTAGTACCGGGCAAACCCACTCATCATTAGCAACTGCTTAAATATTTGAGCGGATTGAGGCAAGGTGTAATAGCGATTTTTCAAATTAGATGGAACCACAAAACACTTAGCTCCTTCGGGAGAACTTTGGGCCAAAATCGGGGTTTCAACTTCCACGAACTCTTTTTTATGAAGGAAATTTCTCATTTCATATAAGAACTGATTTTTAATAAGCAAAAGTTTTTTGCTGCTTGGCCGACGCAAATCTAAATAACGATAACGATAGCGAGTGTCTTCATTAATATTAACTTCATCCTTAATTTCAAAAGGCAATTCTTTACTCTGATTTATTAATTGATATTTCATTAACTCTATCTCAATTTCTTTTTCCGAACCTATTTTTTTTCCTACTATTCCCCATACTTTTAGCAAATCCCCCCTTTTTCTTTCTTTTAACTCGGCAACCAATTCCTTAACTTTAACTACTATTTGAACCTCTCCACTGCTGTCTTGACCAATAATAAATAATAAATTTCCTAACTTGCGGATTTTATTAATTCAAACAGAAAGAGAAACTTTTTTATTTAATTTTCTAGAAGTTAATTTGGCGATTGGCGAGAAAGAAGTCATTGCTTATAACTAATAAAGTAATTTTAAGCATTATTGAATTATAAATTTACATAATTAATACCAATCCCGGTTTCAAAAGACAGTCAAAAAAGCAGAACTATAAATTAAAAAGTTTTAAAACATATTAAGATGATAAAGTTATAAGCAAATGATTAAAGATAAAATGAATTAGTAAAGATACGAAAATATAAGAAACAATCTCAACCTAAAATTATGATTAAAATACCATTTTGACTTAAAAATGTCGATACCAATCAAGAAAATTTAGAATATATAACAATTGATAATCCCAAAAAAATTTTAGAGGGTAAGTTAGTCGGTTTGCATTCTTGCGAAGTTTATGTGCCAATACCAGAATGAAGAAAAAAGCAGTTCTTAATTTATGCTGAAAATCCTATCCATGCACTTTGCCTGGCCTCAGAATTTGCAAAAAGTCAATTACAATTTCTTCTTAATCGTGATGTTTATGTCATCAACGAAGCGGAAAGTCATGAGCCTTGAAAATTAGAAAAAAAAGATCCGCAAGTTTATTTACAGGAGGGGATAAGCAAAATAAAAAATAACCAAAATATCCCACCAGAAGATAGGCAAAAAATATTAGGGGTTTTAAAAGACACTTTTGGTAAAGAACCATCCCCAATCAAAGACCAAATAAATAAGGCAATAGATAAAGAATAAAAAGGGAGTTCCACGGACTCCCTAATTCTTACTAATAATTGAAGGATAAAGACTTGAATTATTAGATTTTATCTCTTTTTTTCGGTCAACTTTACCACTAAAACGCATTTTAGAGAGAGAAAAAATTAATTTAATGTATTTTCGGCTTCCAGCAACTTCGTTTAATCTTTCGGATAAGGTATCTAGGTCTACTTTTCAGAAAAGAATATTAAAATCGCTTTTGCGAAAGTTTAAGTGAAAATTTTTCTTCCTTTTTTTTCTTACCTTTCTAATCAGTTATATAACTTTTCTCATTCGTTTTAATTTAGTTAATAATTTGTCTTATAAACGTGGCAGAGGTCACTTTTTTTTCCTCTTTGGTAAATGTAAAGTAATTGAAAAAATTGAGGGTAGTATGATATACGTCGATTGAAACAAACTTTTACTTATTCTTTTTTTACTTTATTTTCCACTTAAAATAATCATCCATTTGGTTCTTAACTATTGACAAAAAAATTGCGAAAGAGAAGTTAAGGTCTACTTGACTAAAAGGTTGCTGAATTATGCGGCTAAAAATAAAGTCTTAATGATAAAAAAGTCCGATGAAAAGTCGTATATCGTTAATAATGTTGTGCCCGAATTTTCTCGCCAGTTTATCAATGTTCCAGCCAATTTTTTTGAAATATTTGTTGATATCTCTTTTGCGGTGTTTAATCTCTATTTTCTCATTAATTACTATCATTTGTCAAAACTGGTTCCTTTGCTGGTTATTTTCATCTTAGTCAATTTAACTTGATTTACTTTTTTTTATTATCTTTTTGGTTCATCTCGCAAGGCCAATCTAACTAAAAGGAATAATTATCGGGACTTAGAAAAAGTCCAAATAAAGAAATGGTTGGAAAACTCGAAATTTGTCAATCAACCGGGAGATTTAAAAAGTTTACATAATTTATTAGATAATAACTCTCAACAAATAATCAACCTTAACTTTTTATCGGCTCTTTATCAACTGCCCGATTTAATAATTTCGGGTCTTAGCATTCTCTTTTTATTCCTTTATTACCAAGTTTATTGTGGAGGGGAAGGAGGTTTAAGTTGAGATATTTATTTTATTGCTAACAATCTCCAAACGATTTTTTCAAAAATAAAAAAAGGATTTAATTTGTTATCAACCATTTCGACCTGTCAAGAGAATTATCGAAAAATAGAGAGTTTTTTTGATTAAATTGTTAATTAAATGTCTTTGTAATTTTTTTTACTTTTCAATAAAATAACTTATATATTTGCTTTACTTCTCCCTTTGATAAAATTATTATGAATAAAGAACCAAACCTAAACGATAAAGAGATTACTAAAACTCCGGAGGGGATTGATAATAATTTTGTTCCTAGTAAGCCACGGCAAGAAATTGAATTCTCAGTTATCGAAAAAACTGGTAGATTATGGCCTTATCATGGCGGTAAAAAGGCATTAAGCGCTAGCACTCTCACGAAGTTTTTGCGAGAAATAGAGTATCAAGAGATACCAGAATATATTCTTCTCAAAGCCGCCGAGCGGGGGAAAAATTTTCACGACATTATTCAGGAGTTCGTGGAAAGCGGCAATCATCCTCCTTTTGTTGATTTGGTAGAGATTAACAAGTTAAATAAATTAGATAAACGAGTTCACGAAACCG